TTCGTTCTATACTTAGAACAAGTACGAGTTTAGCGGATCGCAATCCGCTTACTTCAAGCTGAACCCAGCGCTAATTATTTCTCCCATTTAAAATTCAAAACTGACTTAAATTATTTTTATCTGTGGCAAAGCCGCCTAACTTCAAATGTATACTTTTTCCTAGATATATATAGTAAAATCTACATGCATAACTACTGGCTACCCAGCCACATACCGTATTCTTGTTTGGGTTTAGTCACACCATGCCCATCTCGTGTGACACGCACCCCTGTTACCAGGTATGTCGTGTAACCCTATTACACGATATGGCACGTCGAGTGTATCAACAAAAATAATGTGGACAAATATAAAATTAAAGTACCTCTAGTTTCTTGTGCTTGTGCAAGTACCATTATCGAGAAGTAGCTCCTCCAGTTCTCGATAATGAGAGCGACCCACTCTGGGCTTTAGGTAATATTGTAGTTTTAGCTCGAATCATTGTGTTTTGTTTTTTTTTAGATTTAAAACCAATTATTTGATTCTCAGTCTGCAGCGAATCAAAACCATCGTCTCCCAATCAAAAAAACAATGCTAGTTTGTCAAAGCTCGACTTGTCTTCCTAATAACACTACTTTTCAGACAAATGTAGCAAAAGTCGACGCTGCTGAATGCAGCAGGAAATAATAAACCAAATTGGATTTGGGTAGGCGAGAGGATTTCGGCTGTGCTGGTCACTAAGGCATCGGACATTTGCACCGATATAAGAAGTTAAACATATAGTAGTCAATTTTGTAACTAGTTGGCTCTGATGTATACGTTTAATCCGTTTGTGTAGTCCTTAAGGTATTTTCACAATATATCTTCGAATGTTGTATCAATTCATGTACATGCTGAGCGCGACTTTGACACATTAGATTGACATGGTCTCTTCCTTTGTGTTACTTTTCCTCGACTGATGTCAAACCTTTCGCAAGCACAAACTTATAATAAACTGTCAAAACGACGTCTGTCCTTATCATGTCCATCATTTTTCTTAAAAATTGTTAGTGGTTTGATTTCCTTATAAACAGTGGTGAAAAACTTGAGTAATTAATGTCTTCATTTTTTTTTCACGACGCGAATATAATGCACATTTGTTAATTTTACAGATTCTAAGTCATGATAGTATCGGGTATTTCAAACCCAATGACATCGTGTGTCCAGTGTGTCAGGATTGTTCCTCTGTATCACTTGATAGTAGAAAAGACATGGCGAATTTGTGTGTCGCGGTGAAATTACGACAACCTGGTGATGTCTGGAATCGATTATGACTGCAATGGTCACCGCAGAAGTCGCTATCGACTTGATACGTATCAAATGGCAGTAATTCTTCAAGGATTCGTCCCGCCGCATCGATTTTTGCCGTTTCCAACAAACAGGCCACGTCTCCGTAGTTTTGAACCACCATATATAGGCCAGTCACAAAGTCAATTGTAGGAGCGTAGCGACACACTTTTCCAAGCCCATCGAAATAAAATATGAATGTTATTGGTAGTCGTAAAGTAGATTTTTGCACCATTCGGGTGCGTAAACGCTCGTTAAGAATAGTATGAGGAAAGATACTGGTCCAAAGATGACGTCGTAGTCGAATAACAAGTAAAGCACTCACTCGTCCCACGTTCACGTACTGATCCTGGCACTCCACAATATAATTGCACTTCTTGAGCATGAAACTACAAAATAAATGAGCAAAATATGCCCAATGCTGTAGGACAAATGTGCGTCCGATTTGATCTCCATATCGCACATCGCTGCATGCTGCCAAATCAAGAAAATTTGCCTGTTGTTCTTGATTCCCTGATTCAAAAGCTATTATACATTCTCGCATACAGGAAATAATACTCGTGGCCTGTACTGTACTCGATTGTAGTGGCATCCCTGACATATACTCCTGAATTCGAACTTTGTAAGCACTGTGTCGCGCAGTCAGTCGTTCATCTACCTCCATACGTAGACGCTTTACTGTCTCCTCAAGGCGGTCCACATACTGTCGCTGCTTCTCCCGGTACCGCTGCTGTCGTTTAATTGAAGCTTTTATAGTTGCCTCTTGTTTTTCTGTATCTTGATCAACGTCATCATCACGATTTTCCGAGCATGGCTGAGAAAAATGCTGACTCATCATCAGAAAGTAGATCTGACAATGAGTTGCTTTGTGTCGTTGCAATTAAAACCTCTTTGTCCCTTTTGACTCGTCCAGTCGCAGATGACGCTATTCTCTCAGATCCTTTTGTCCGTCGGAACGGCTCCTATTTTACAAGACTTTCATGCGGTGGCCAGCAATAGGATTGAAAAGCAAGTAGTCCAACTGAGACGTGACGCTGAAGCCAGTCGAGCGAAAGTGCGTCCTTGAACTGCAAGGCAAACAACTTCGGATGACTGTAGACAGCATTGACTTACGCATTGTCTTTCACTCATACTATTGTAGATCGATCATTCTTACATTGTTGCTAATAAAAGCTTACCCCTGACGCATCGTAACGTTTAGTGTCAATTCGTCTTGGCTAAACAAGAACAGAAGCTGAAGCGTGGAATTTGTCTGTGAGCTTAAAGCAAGCGTACGTCAAGATGGGCAGAGGCAAAAAGTCGAAGTTCAAAACTTGATTCTTGAGGCTCGAGAGTGGACAATAGGACAATATACCAACCCGGGGAATATCTTCGCTTGGCTTTTGCCAGGGCACCACAGGGAAGACTGCTCACATACGTTCCATCTCCTGAAGTTGCACTTGCAAAGGCTAACTTGGGATTCGTCGACAGCAGTAAATCTCCTTCTGACGTGCTTTCATAGACTGACACGTTAATATAAGAAGCACCCTCTGGTGCTGCAACTGGCTCTGGTTCAAGGACCAATAAACGAGCTAGAATATCGCATTCCTGTTTAACATGCACCAAATATTTGGGATTAAACGTATAGCACCCGAATTTGGCACATCCTGCGGCAGACCCATTACTAAGTTCCCACTTTCCTCGAAGTCTAGTAAGCTCCATACCATGTCCTTCAGCAGGAAGTTGGCGGTATGCAATAATCGATTGAGCTGGGGGATCGCTTACAACGTGCAGTGTAAACTTGCCAAGAACGCCTCTTTCAAATGTGGTCGGGATCAGCACGATATCGTTTAAATCAGCAGCAAGAGTCGATGTATCTATTTCAATAAAGCAAAATCCAGGCCGGTATTTCCCAGAGCTAAGCACTTTAAGCGGCTTCATTCCTGTATCAGCAAATCCTGCAGCGTGTAATCCATAGAGGCGCTCGCGAGTGTGCAGAGCTGCACGCAAGTTGATTGGAAAAGCAGGATTTTGGGGAGTTTTGGAATAAAAATTTTCCGTTTCAAGAAAAAGGAAAAGTGATCGACAAGGTTGTTGCAACTGCAGATGAAACTGCGGATTATCCATAAAAGTCGAGAAAAATGGACGCCCACCAGCACAGTCCATATCCCAAGCACTAGATATTACGATTGATGTCGGTGATTTCATGTCAAATGATGGAATTGTCTCACAGGTAAATGGTTGGGTTGAAAAAACAGACAATGTGTAATCGAGGGCGGCTATAGTTTCATACTGTGACACCACAAGAGTGAATGAAGGCTCAGGACCATGTTCTAGATCCAGATCCAGACTCATGAGTGTGTGGGGATTGTTACTGTATGTTCCTCGAGACACTGCACGGTGGTTGTAGAACACACGCTTACCAGGTGTACCACGATAAATATGGAGTGTTAAAAATTGCTGAGTCGAGGAGTCAATTTCGCGTTCGATGGCGCTAACATGCCTCGAAAGAAGAATCCACACAGTGCAGGATGTAGCAAAGGTCGTTGCTTTGTCCTGTGATGTTGCAATTTTTCTAAAGGATAACGAGTATTGAGGATTAAATCCAAGAGTGAATGAATCGTTGACAGGTCCAACATCAGCAGACCAGTGTTCGTGGTATACTCTTTTGTAAGGAAAGAGTTCAGGATTCCAGTTTAAGTACAAGCTCTCGAAGTATTTCTTAACAGATTCAAAGTCCATCCAGAACAAGCCTTCGTCTGGCTGACTATTAGCTTCATTCGGCATAGTGCTTTTAAGTGCATAGAATTGGCGTTGATACGAATCCAGCTCGTCACCAATGGCGCTGTTCCATCGAGAGTAATCGTATCGAGAATATGGTCCTTTCCAGCTCATCTTACGCCAGGGATTTTTAACTTGCAAAAGTCGTATCGTTTTACCGTTCTGAGCCAAGTCCGTCAGTTCATACACATTGAGCACAGCATAGACATGAGCGGGAACAAGGCCAATTTTTTTTGCCTCCTGCTTTGGGATGTCTCCTGTGGACATTGTGATGATACAATCTCCATAGTGAAACGCACTCTTAAGCTGATTCCATAGTCGTTCTTCTTTAGTTGGCGCGTCAAGAAGCTCGAATACTGAGACACGCTCTGGAATCCACCCCGTAAGAGCAAACAAGTCAATCCCTGAATTTCCGCCTGGAAAGTTATAGCCTCCGTTCAGCTTCAAATAAGCTTTTTCAATCAAACTTACCCATAGTTCATTTTTATAAGTCGTACAACTTGACAAAAGTTGTCCAGAAGAAGCACTGACAGGCAAAAAGTCGTCGATGACAATTTTACGAGGCACACCATTCGCCCACAGTTTAACTGCGTATTTTCCATGAGGGTTGTAAACCGGTTGTTTTGTCACTAGATCAGCTGGAAAAATAATGTTTGTTATCAAATATCTTTCAAATCGTTGCTCATATGCGGCAGCAATACACAAGGACGCAACAAATGAACAGTCCGTTACAATGTCCTGCTTTACAACAAATGGATTTACTCCGCCTGGTGCAATCATCACAGGTGCTTGGCCGCACAGTGCCGCATACTCGCTTGGTCTCATCCACGTTGCGTCTTTTTTCTTTTGCTTGACCGATAACGGCACAAAACCATCGGGATCACAGTATGCCTCCGGCACATCAAAGTTTTCATAAGCGTCCAAATCATCCACCCAGGGTACAAATAAGTGTCCATTTATATGCGAAGACCTGCGCAGTACTTCCAGTTCCTTCTCTGTGTAGGCATTCCCCAGCGCCTCCTTGTCATTTTCGTCCAATTTCTCTGTCATATTAATCCAATTTGTTGCAGCTAATACGTTAGTCAGTGCTATGGGCGCTGTTTTGCACTGTGAAGTCTGTAGCTTTGGCCTTTGGAGCGCAGCAAGATGCACGTCGTCATCACTGCATTTTTCCTGTTTCGGTACCTCATTTTGCGCTTCCTCGATTCGTGCCTTCAACTTTGATATATAATTTATAATATACTCGAGTTGCTCTTGAAGCGCCGCTCTGACTGTTGTATCGCTATTTGGCAGTGCGTTCAGTGCTTGAAAGTACGTTTCAGCGGCGATAATATATTTTTCCTTGACGCTTTCAGGTGTAGCATTGCCGGATACCTCATATTCCTTTGCAGCTGCATGCTGTTCCATTGCGCGTGTCAGTAAGAAATCGCTCGACTGCTGCAGAGCAATTATGCATGTCGTCAAATCATCAATTTTAAGCTGTAGACGCTCACGTTGTGCTGCTGACTCTACGATCGCCAGACGTTTATAAAGAAGAAGTGCCTTTTGATGCATCTGATTAGCTTGCGTGAGCTGGCCTTCGCGTTCGTACTTCTTTGCCTGTTCAACAGCCGCCAGCGCCTCAGCGTAGTGCTGTTCCGCCATGCTTTTGGCCATGACGTTACCAAAGCGTCAATTTGATTGGATGATATATTATAGTTATAGGATTGGTGGAAAATACTTGAGCGGCTACGGTATTTCGCAATACTCGCCGCACCATGACCGGTAAGGACGCGTGGAAACCCTTCGTCAAGTTCGAGTATCAGAAACTGCTACCAGCAGAGCTTCGTAACAAGGTGAATTGAATATAAAATGCCTTTCAAAGTTATCGTTTAAAGTAAGTGAGGACTGTTGTTCGTCGCAGCTGCGCAAACTGCTTGTCTTTACGGAAGCTACGGGCACAAAGCAATTAAATCAATCGCCTGCTTTTTCGCAAGGTTATCGCTATCCTTCGCCGGATAAACAAGCTGAGGGTGTTTTTGTGCCATCCAGTGATTCCAAGGATAGTATTTACAATATCAACTACTATACGCGCGACATCCGCCGCTTCCCCTTCCCTATCGAAGTCGGAATGCATCCATCTCTTCCCATCGAGAAACGAGTTGAGATCCCAGCGGATGCTAAACGTGGATCACCAGGGAACAAAAATCCGGCCGTACTGAGTTACGATCCTACAGGAACTCGATCAGCCATGAGCACAACCCATGAAGCGCGCGACAAACTCATTCAACAGCATGTTTCCACGCACAATGTGCGTTTTGAGTGGGAGGGTGATGCTGAGGATGAAATTCTTGAGGATTGCATAGCGAAAAACTTGCCGCCTGCCCCTGGTCGCCCATTTGTATGGAACTTTCCATCTCAAAGTCGCGTCATGCGCTGGTAAAGTTGAGGGAAAATAATTGAGAATTGGAATATATTCTGTAATCAAATTTCATTCATTCGTTTTTTTTCTTCCTTCTTTAACATCTGCGACAGTCGAACTAATAATGCAGTTTACCGTGATGCCAGAGCTCCCATCGCTTCTCGCGCCCGAAATTGTAGCCAAAACGGACCAATCCATTACATTGCGTGTAAAACAATTACCGAATGGCAATGAAGAAGCGCAGTACAAACTGCAAGCGGTTGGTTGCGACTTAAATGTACCTACGTATTGAAACTAAGTTGTAAATTACTCTATAGAGCTACAGTGAGCATGGTTACGTCTATTACTCGTGGATTGACTCTGTAACCTTTTCTAGTACTTTATTCCCTGTCAAGGGGCTCAAGCCCAACACGGTACGGTGACTCTTTTTTTATTTCATTTATTGTACTTATAGTAGTGCTGTTTAAAAGACGTATGTGTTCCGTGTACGCGTGGTGGACGAGATTAAATGCCAGTGTGGTGAGTGGTCGCCACTGACGCCTAATACGCGCACTTTTACAGAAGAAGAGGATGCTAAGCGATCGGGCACTGTATTTGAACATGCGCTGAAATTGGAGCGTGAGCAGAAGAGTATTTTAAAAGGTCAGATTTCGAAACTTACGGACATTTTAGAGGAACGCAAGGTTGCGCGTGAAAGTGAGAATAGAGTACAACAACATGAAGATATGCTTGCTAGTCGCCGTATCATCGATTCAAGACTTTCAAAGTTACAACAGGAGCTAAGTATGCAGACGATAGCGCTACAGACAGTCAAAAGTCAACGAGCAGCAGATGAATTGATGATTTCAGAACTTTTGAATGAGCAGGAAAAGCTACGAGCTGCGCAAATTGAGCAACAAGGACAAGTACAGTATGAATTGGAAATGCAGACCTTGCGTGAACGGCTAGAAATGAACGAAGAAGCGCTTCGTAAGCACCAAGAGCAAGTAAATGCCAGTCACGAGCAGATAATGAAGTATGAAGCTTCATTGGAGGCTAAAAAAAGCGAAATTACTCAAAAAGAGGAAGAAGTTGAGAGAATAATGGCCGACTGTAATCGTATGGTGCAGGAACAAGCAGATCTGGCTCATGTGAAACAGCTCGAAGTAGAAGATGCTCTGCTGGAAGCCAAGACATCTTTGGAGCAACAATTGGATATCAATACGTATTTGCGGGATGAGGTGTCGCGACTTCGAGAAGAGAATCATCATTTGAAGAATCAAATTGAGGAAGTGGATTCGGAAATTGTACCGAAGCTGGTACGTTTAGAGGATGAAAATGAGCAGCTTCGCGCACAGCTGTGTCGACGGTAGGGAGGTGATCACAGCAATGCCGGTGTCATGAGTTAAAGTCATCACCTTTGATAATATATACTTTATGGCTGCATAATTCATAGCGTTTGATAAGTCGCTATCACATGAACAGACTTAGAATCCATTATCTTCGTCTTCATCAAATCCTAAAGTGAATGCATCGGTAGCACCTAGTGGCGGAAGTCTTGATGGCGGTGAACTCGCTGATAGACAAGGAGATGGATCAAACATAGTGCGTGCTGGCAATTGTCGCCGATGTGCTATCCGATCATCATCATTTAATGCTTCATCGTCGCAAGACGAACCAACTGACATGTTGCAGGATCGATTTAGACTGCCCATGTAGCTGTCTGCATTATACGAGGCATTCGACAAACTCATTGGCCTAGGCGCGCTTCCAATTAAACTTGAATCATCATCAACCAATTCTTCTTTCTCGCTTATGTCACCTTCGTCTTCTGCGGTCTCCTGCATCTGACGAATTGTGGCCTTTACAGAATTTAGTAAATCGCAGTTCTCACTTGATGTCGGATCCGCATGTTTCCAGAACAAATACAACGGACCAATATACCGAAATGAGCGACGCAAGAGATAAGGATCGAAAGGAAAAAACGTCTCTAAAGGTTGACGTTGACCAATCAATGTAGAAGCAGAAGCAGATCCTACCGTAGGCTTCTTAGAATGCTCCATGGATTTGGCAGCTAAATTTGCTGGCACTGTTGCTGTGCCAATCGCTTGGTCTACACGTTCAAGACATTCTTCAGATACCAAATCAAACGTTTCGACAAGATTCAAAAACTCAGTTGCAACTGTTTGTTGACAATACGCCAATGGACAATAGCCAGTATTCGTAATCAAAAGCCGTTCCCAGCCAAGACTGCGCAAGAACTCATAGCCAGCACCATCGTCACTGGTAGCAATCTCCAGTCCGCGAAAGCATAGCATATAACACACGGTTTGCAAGGAGGAGATAAATATGCTTTCTTGAAAGCCCCGAACACTCTTAATCTCCAATTTCTCCGACTCCTCGAGTACTCGCTCCTCATTTTTGGGAGTTGTTGTGCCAACATAACGTTCCACTTTGTCCTGTTGGTCTTCATGTGCAGCGTCGTAAAGATCCATTTGGTCATGCAACCACTTAAGTAAATGATATAAAGCTTTTTGAAGATATGCCACGGAAATATACTTGGCACGAGCAAGAAAACTGGCTAGATAAGCACCACAGCTATGACGTGTAGTTGGAGGTGTCTGCGGATCCAGTGATGTTGCAAGAAGTTGCGAGATGAACACGTCCTGGAATTGAGGGTCCATTCGACAAACGTAAAACAGCAAGAATTGCGGATACTTGGATCGATGAGTGTTTAAAATCGAGTGTTCGAATACTTTGAGCAAATACTTGAATATCAAGGTTGCTTGACGCATGTTTAGGTTGTTGTATGTATTGCTTTCCTCGATAGGAAGTACTGTATCAGCTAACTCCGACGTAGAAGGTGATGATGTGGCACATTGTTCTATGTGCTGAAACATTACGAGCATCATTTTGTCCAATTTATCAGCCATTTCGTCCATGCGTCCCGACGTATTGTCAGATGGTAATAAGTCATCATCTAAAAAGTCATCCATTGTAAATACATCCTCTTCGCTTTCGTCTAATTTGATCTCCACGTCAATCGCTACAAGCTGGTCAAGCACCAGTCCTAACACACGCTCACGTAAACCACCCACATACTCTGTGACACGCAGTACATTGCGTAAATATGCAACCTGAGTCGAGGCATCCATTCGCTTGTGCGGAAAATGTTCACACAAAATTGGAAATAAGACGTTGGTTGCCGTAGGGACCAGCACAAGTACACGTTTAAGTGTCTGATGTGCAGCTTCAAATCGAGCTTGGATGCGTTCCTCCAAACTTAGTTCTCCTGTATCATGCGCTTCTATCGATCCATTGGTGCTAAAAGATTCTCCTATCACGATATTGCCAGCTCTCTGAATTGCCTCATCTTTTGCCTGATCTGCATCAAATTGTGCTCGAAGGTCGAAAGGCAGTTCCTTCATCTGCGGACGACGCATATTACGTACGAGCATGTGAAGTGTTGGAACCACATAAATCGTATTCGAGGATACTAAATGTACAATGAAATTCGTGTAGTCCTCGACCTCACATGGGTCTCCGCTGGCCAACAGGTCAAACTTGAACAACACATCCAGCAGTGCTCGGTAAGCGTGGTGTTCACGTGCCATCGTGGAGATGCAACGTGGCAAAGCACGAAAAATCTTGCGACGCGTGACAATAGGTGCCGGTACAAGCGTCAGTTGCTGGATAAGGTACTGGTAGCTCTTGGTATTACCCTGGGAGGACAAGGTAAGTGTGCCAAATCTTGTGAACGTAGAACCTTAAGCTAACCTTTATGACCAGATCAAGCGCATTTTCGATAAATTGATGCATGCTAGCCACCTCTTCCTCAGTCGGTGGGGTCGTCGACGTTCCCAGCGTCGAGTGTATCAACGCTGCAGCTCCAGCCATCTTTCAGTGAATTAAAAGCGTTTCGGGATTGGTGAATATTGAAAAGCTACTTTATCTGGTAAATACGTTAAGTGGACAAGTGCTGCTAAAACCCTGTAAACGCTTCAATTACAAGCGTGTTTTGGAGTAAATGGTCACTTTTACTGTCGTCTTACCTGTGTTTATATACACTATCTGTTACGCAAACCGAAGGTATATTCATGTATCTAGAAGCAGACAGCAGTCAAGAATAGCGTGTGCTTGGTAAGCGCGGAGCTACAGGCTCACTCCAGAGATAGAATGGGACCAACATTTTGCACTGCGTTCTTCGGTAACTTTGCTACTTACAAGAGTATGGAGTACAGCTCATCTGAAACGGGGTTTCCGCAAAGAAGCTTCGACTCCAGGAGTCTGCGTCAACAAATGCACAGAAGTTGAACTTTACGCAACCGGAGAGCCTATGACGCAATTAGAAACCTAGGCTACTTTGCTTTTTTAAGAGTGACTTTTATTGAGATTTGGAGCATATATACCCAATTGATAAAATCACGGACGTCTCTTATACAAAGTCCCATTATTTTCATAGATACCAACAGCTTAGATGATTTTGAATATTTGTGACTTCACAAAACAGTAAATATCATATCTATCACTTCGTATAAGTGTACAATATATTTGAACAATTGTCCAATCGTGTAAGGAGCACGACACAAAAGTACAGGACGTACACCATTAGACCCCCCTCACACCAAGATTGAGACGACGCTCAACACGCACTCACTGCGTGCAGAGTTCTACCTTTAAACGACAGTGCCCGTTCCAAATAGCATATTTGCATCGTTATCCCTTTACCGTTTATAATGTCACGTAGCTCGGTGGGCATCCAAAAATATCTTTGCGGGCATCGGTCGTGAGGATCGCGACAGATGCCCGCAATGCTATACTCGTGTGTCCAAGGTTTTTTATATGAGAGCGGTCGCAGAAAATCTACGAGTCCTGATCTGACACACTCCCCCTAACCTGGAGACATGCGGCCGAGCAACTCGCTGATAAGGTGTTTTCTGCGCGCCTCTTCTCTGCGCTAGGTAAACTCTCCGTACTCTTCTCCTATCGTGAATCATTTTACGACACCGCGCCGTGATAAGGAGCTGGACCAGGCTCAGGGGACCAACTTGCTCATCTGCGAGCGCAAGAGTCACGCCGACTCTTGCCAAATTCATCACGTCAAGACCATGGTTGTAAAGTGTCAGAAGTCGTGCTGGGTGGGGCTTACGCATCCATGCGCGCGAGTCGAAAGTTGCTCCGCAAGCGCTTGCCCGTCCCGCAGGTTTTTAGGAACACCTCTTACGCTTACAGCAGCTGCGGTTAAGAAACCCGAATCGTCCATCAAGGATGTACCTCGGGTACTGTACGCTTGCGAGAGTGCCGAAGATTATTGTACTCTGGTTGCGCGCTGGGCAAAGACGATTCTTCGTCACGCCCACATCAAAGCGTTTCAAGCCAGCCTCAGTGAAGCAAACGTACGACTAGAGCGTTGCCTCATAATTGACCTCGTGAAGTGAATAGCACGACGGGGACGTTAAGGTGGACATCTATCCACTCCCATACTTAAGTGTTCATAACCCCGTTAATGAAACAGCTATCACAGCCACCGACTAGGTAAATAGCTTGCAACAAGGTTAGTCCCCACTTGTTGGTGGGAAGTCTGATGAAAATAAATGATCCTATCTCTTATCGGTGGGATCTGAAGGCCAAAAGCATGACTAATCGTCGGCGAAACAGTGCCAGGGCAATTTTGCCAAATTGGAGTCTCAAAATTAGTTTTTCGAACCTTCGACTTGGTCAGATACTAGCTACCAATTATTCCGCGGGAAGTGGATTATTTCTTGCATACAGAGCAGCCCCAATGGAGTAAGACCTTCCCGCGGCTGACTCTCGCGACCTTTTCTGTCTGTAGCGGCACGTTGTCTCTCCCGAGGCTGCGGCCGAAACTGAGATGGATCAGATCTGAATGCGACCTCTGAGCTCGGCCGTCGTACTGCGTGGCTTGCAGCACCCTCAGCGGCTCAAAACCGCGCTGATGCTCTACAGCAGTGGGTAGATCAGCTTACGAAACACAACGCTCTTCATGTTCGACTGGCTCGTAGGAACGGAATCGTGGTATGGCCATATCGAGCATAGGATGCACTCCTTTCACTTCAAAAAACTACCAGTAAAACGCAATATCTTTACGCTGCGACTGTGAAAGGTGTGATAAAGCGTGTTGTTGTCCTAAAGATCAACAGACATTGCATGTATAGGTCAACTGCATATAATAAAGATTTTTCCTTTGCTATTTCATGTTTATCTCGCTTGTCGACAGTATCGGCGTGTTGCTTCTATACATCCTTTTCTCAGCCACAGCATCGCGCTATCCGTGCATGACGCTCAATCTGATTCTGATGGAATGTGCAACGGGGTTACACATACCCTGGTGTAACGAAATTCCCCTTCCCCCGGTATAGAGGGGCGAGTTACACAAGATGGTGTGACCGTACAATGGTGCGGATTACACAAGTCGGTGTCATCACACATTGATGTGGCTACACCGTAACAAGAAGCCACTACGTGGCGGGACTGCCAGTAGTTACGCAAATTTATTAGTTTTACTATTTAATTGGGAAACCTAGATCTAGGACATAGGCGGCTCTGCCGCAAATAAAACAGATAAATACGGTTTCAGTTTTGAACCGAAGATTACATTTGCCTTGGGTAAGGTTTTGGGTACTCTTGGAGGTAGCGGATTGCGATCCGCTACACTCGTACTGGTATACAACGTAATTCGGTGACCTCACTAAGCTTCCTCTAGGCAAAGAGCTACGGCAGCCCCGCTGCATTTGGTAGCATTCGTAATCAATCTACGCCTGAAACGTTACGACTGATCCTCTGTAAGGATGGAATAATTCTTCTAATTGCTTCTGGGCATGCAGGACGGGCTTAATAAGCTGATGTCCCCGCTTCGCCCTGAGGGCATGCAACACCTTGCTTCGCAAGGACCCGAAGCGATAAGCGCGGGCCAAGAGGCGTTTTCGAATTATGTAAATGCTCTGCTAGAGCCCCTAGAGAAGAAGATGTCAGCATCGACTCCGTTCATGACGCCGCTGTCGACGATGGATGACTCCTCCCGGCTCAGGCCGCTCATGGTGATCGTTAAGACCTTCGAAGATAAGGATGGAGAGAATATCCCGCTCTGGGTGAGAGAGGTCGAAATGGCTATGGCATCCGCCATGCTCCAAAACGAGCAACAACGCGTGGCGCTAGCTATCGCCAAGCTCGGGGGAGGAGCGCAAGAATGGGCACCAACGTGCGGTACTTCAGTTGAAGCGGCGTGCCCCTCCTTCCAGGAGCTGAAACGTCAGCTTTCGCTAGTGTTCTCACCGCCTAACCAGGCATATCGAGTGCGATCGCGTTTCCTTGTCACCCGACCGGGCAAGAAGGAGGTGGTGGACTTTGTCCAAGAGTTGAGAACTCTCATTGCCGGGGTGGCAGCCGATTTTCTCCCCGAGGCGGTCACAGTGATCGTCTTTATGGAAGGCCTCCGCACTGACGTGGCCAAAATGAAAGTCTTCCGTGTGCATTTATCTTCTTTTGAAGAAGCGGTGAATTTGGCATTCAATGCCAAATTCAACTCTAAGTCGGCACGACTTGATTGGAATGCACACCCTCAGACATCGTCGAGCGAGCCTGAGCCAACGGATCTCAGCTATGCTGAGAAAGATGAGGGAGAGCTCCGAGCTGTTGAGCAGCATGTAAGGGTTGTCCCCTGCGCAACGCGCGTCAAGGCTCATCGAGCCAACGTCCCGCGTCTAACCAGTCTTATTTGTCGCGGGAAAGCGAGAGAATCCAGTAGGCGCGGGTCGCCTTACTGGGGAAGAACTGAGTTATGTTGAGCCTCAAAGAGGAAGAGGCAGCAGGGCTCAGCCCCAAAGAGCTGCGTGCTCTTAAAGTGCGTGCAAGCCTGGCTTGCTGATTGTAAAAGCGGCCGTGAAGGGCCTAGAGAAGCCACAGAAAATCCTGATCGATTCCGGGACGTCGGGCAATTATGCTCGACACTCCACGATCGAAGGAAGTCAGCTGTATGCTGAGGCGCTGAAAGCACATTTGAGTGACGCCGTCATTGTCCGCTTAGCGATGGGTATCTGTATCATGTGCCGGGCGGTGGCAAGTTCTTGACTTTGATAGCGTGGAACGCTGCTTAGTCTTAGACTTGGATGCAAATAAGACCTTATACTTGGTATGGCATGGTTGGAACACCATGAGCCATGGATCGACTGGAGGTCGAAGACCTTGGGCGCTACGCGCGCGTCTCCTGACACACTTCTGCTAGGAAGCAGAAGCTCTTTTGGCGCGGGCACTGAATCGGGACGGTCAATGTGCTGGATATCGGAGTTTACGAGGTGTTGAACACCGAAGGTGTATCGGACAAGAATTCCGCGGGCTGAACGTGGATTGGCAAGTAACCCACTGATCACTGCTCAAGTATCAAAGCAATTGCTGCATGCCAAGAGTGGAATGGTCGGACGAGGTCCGAAGCATCCAGAGCGAGGCCCCAGTGATGCGCGTGGAGTGGCACGGAAGTCACTGAGCACTGCTCGCTTAGTGGGGATACTAAACGACACTGATTGAGTATTCCTACTGGTCTCACCGAGGCGTAAAACCTCAGTAGAGAGGAGTCGGCGGTGCTGTACATTATCTGAAAGACGCAGGGCATCGACGTTGACCCAGGATGTGTCTACCGCAGGCGGTAGCGCACAGCTATATACCCTTTTCAACGGTATGACGAGAGAGGAAGACGGCGACGTCACCCTTGAGTCTATTCCCGCGGTGGGTGCTCGGCTTGAGCTAGACGAGATGTCCTTCGAAGCGTTTGACAGCGCCTTGAAGGCAGGCGATGTAGCCGAGGTGGTCATTATACGACCAAACGAGGTGATTAATTCGCCGTCGCTTCTGGATGAAGCTGTTCTAAGGGTGCTAGACGCACGAAATAGATCTTCGATCCTAAAGGATCCCTAGGATTAGTACTATTCTTTGGTAAAGGAATTCAAGGCGCCGTCTCCAAAGACCAGCCGTCGGTCTTACCTCCAGACCGAGGTGTGCATCATGGGATCGACCTGGTTCCGGAAACCAAATACTGCGTAACACGCCAATGGCCCCTGCCCAAGGAGCAGTGTGACGTCATTGACGCCTTATTACGTGCGAAGCACGACGCAGGAATGGTACGTGGAGCAAGTCTCCCCACCCGACACCCACGTTTTGTGTTCGAGAGCCGAACGGCAAGTGGCGTATCGCTCACGCTTACAATAAGCTAAACGCTGCCACCATTCTGGCTCAGACGCCGATTCCTAGAAAGGATGTGCTGTACAAAGTACAGTGCACTCGACTTGGTCGATGGTTATTACCAATTGCTCATGGGAGCATGTGATATTCCGCAGACAGCGGTGAGTACTGCGAGCGGGATGCTTTGGGGGTGGCTGGGTATGCCTTAAGGGCTGTCAGATGCGCCAGTAACATGTAATCGTCTTGCGACGCAATTGTTCAGGCCCCACCGAGCGTATGCACAGACTTACTCTGAAGACATCTTCGTCCACAGTCGTGCGGGGATCGGGAGGACAGATGAGGAAAAATACATCGTCCATTTGAGAGCGGTGCTCGGGTGCAGGCTCACGAATAAGATGTATGCTAACACAGATAAGTGCATCTTCGGCGCTGAAGAAATCCCCTTAATAGGGTGCTTCATTGGGAAGCGTGGCCTTCATGCAGATCCCGCTCAGGTAAGGGCCATTGTGGACTGGA